TTTTTACTTAATTATGCGAATATCACGATTTAAAAATTTTAAATGAAATGGAACAATAATTTTGGAAGTCACTGTATGTATCCGGATGGAACATCCATCACAAGCATTTGTAGGTATTGAGCTTAATATAATGACATTGATCAGTGTGTTTATATATAAAAAGGTATACATTATATCAAAAATATTTACCGGAATGCAAAAATCCGACAATTTCGATATGATTCTTTTTGACAAAACTAACACCGTGCTTTTTGATTTTTTGAAATAGCATATCGCGCATTATTTTGGGCATCCTCACTGAACCGTCAGATAAATATTTTGTACCGTCTTCTCCGGTCCAAGTGCGACCTTCTTCACTAACTGCAAATTCTTCTGGCGATCCCAAATCACGTACAATCCCATCACACTTGCGTCCCATGATCTTCCTGACCTTCGGATTCTTTCTATCACGGTTTTTTCGCTGTCTTGATGCACCAGAACAGCCTTCGCCTCGGATAAATTCAATTGTCTCGAGATCAATAAAGCAGGCATCAACTATGACACTCCAAATATTATTACTGGTAAACCATCCTTCTAAATGGCCTCTTGTGAAATCATTCGGTCTCAGTTCGTACCTGGGAAGGAGTTGCGAAAAACTTGATGGATATAGTGAAAATTAAAATGTTTTTTTGAATCATAAGGAGAAATATTGATGCCGGAATTGACCAGTTCTCGCATTTCGTTAGGCTGAAATTTACGATATCTCATAAGATAATTAATCAATTCATCTGATAATTCAGGTTCGGGAGAAGTATTGTATGTAATTATATGATCATGGTCAACATCTTTGAAAAGATCCATTATAGCATCATTGCTGGTGTCGATTATGAAGCTATGTAATTGATCTTCATATTGTAAATCTTTTGCATGTTCATACAAAATATCTTCGACGTAATCGCCCGAAGGCAACTTCCACTTCTTATCGATATGCATATCGAGGAACTTCATTTTATGTTCTAATTTGGCATGATCGTTCATGAAACCGTCCTCTTTACTTTCAGGACTTTCTTTGATATCTTCATTACCATTATCAAGACTTCCATTGTCGGAGCACCCAGATGCATCACCTAATTTAGATTCGGAAGATGTGGAGTAGTTCGGCAATTCACGATCCTAAAAAAAACCATATTGCCATACTAATTAGAACTATCTTGATTTGGTGTCAAAACTTTGGAATTATAATACCTCGTCCTTGTTTTCTTTGTCCAGAAATGGATTGTTTTTGAAGTCAAAATTGTTTCTTGAGGTTCGCTTGAACCAAGTGAGTGATATAAGTTAATTATAGATACAACAAAGACTGAGATAACACAACTTACGTATATGACATCTGTAGTTTATTGGTTTCACCGAAGGTCTTTAGACAACCCCTAGAGGTCATTTGTTGAAAATTTTGTTTTCCAGCAATACCCAGCAAGTCCATACTTGCATTGAGATGCGTTTGGTTTGCTAATATCTTTTTTGCGAAATAAACAAAATCAAATCTATGCTTGTATGAAGTCACTTCTAGGAATTAAAGTTTACATTACCTCTTTCCGTTCATATATAATTTCTTCCCAATATAGCTGGAATCTATTGTTTGCACGTTCAGACTTTACCTGCGGAACGGAGTATAAACTTTAATACAATTTTTTTCGTTAAAAGAAAAGATCCAACTTCAAGTAAAGACGATGTCGCAATGGTAGTGGCTGGGAAGAGAGCCAATGCTCCTAATCATGATGAGAGCAGAATAGGAGTGCCACCAGTCCATCACTCGGGTTGGGAAGAGAGCCAATACTCCTAATCATGATGAGAGCAGACAGGAGCTCCCTAGACAAAATATAAAAATAAAAAATACAAGATACATCACCCTCGTTTCCATGATGCTGAAATTACTTGGATCCAGTTCTCGTACTTCGTATAAAAAACGATTAGACCAGCGACCATCGAGATGAAACCATTCATTCAAATAAGGTGGTGACTTAAGGAGAGTATCACGGTGGAGTGTCAGAAATCCAGCATAGGACCACGTTGCATTGTCATTGTCTTTCAGGTAACGAGCAAGTTCTAGAACGTTTAGAACAAGTTAAAAATTAAAAAAATTAAATGTTTCTCCACCTACTATTGTCATTCAAGCTTACCCGAGTAACCAACGTAAGGTTCCATCATTGTATGAAACAGAGTGAGCACAACGTTAGAAAGAAATGATATATATACAGTTATATACAAACGCGTAATTCCTCTTGATTTACGTGATTTACGCCAATTAAGTGTAACTCCAATAATGATAGGCTGAGTAATACCGTATAGCGCCGCATACAGTACCCCCGGTATTATTCAAGAAACCCGGCTTAGATTAAATAGTATCCTGGGGGGTATTATATAAGGAGGGAGATACTATAAAAAGGGGATACATTAAAAGGGGGATATTAATCATGTGATAATAAAAT